GTTATATTTATTGAGGACCTGATCCAAAATGGAGGTAAAGCTATTAGTTTTGGGTTTTCTAGTTTTTCGGACAGTTGCTATGATAGATATGTAAATAATCTATATAGATAAATAAAATGTAATTATACATTAACCTACTTATTTTTTTTAATTCGAAATTAATTATCATGAGTCGGTATATATACCCAAAATTGAATGAATTGCTGTTTGAGTAATCTTATCAGAAAATGGACGCGAACAAGACACAAGTTCGATCAGGCACAAAGTGTCATTTCTTCCGAAATAAAGTCTTGGAATCTATAGCTTTACATAATAAAATTACTAAAAATATAGAAGGCATCAAAGAGGATATAACATTACTTAGGCACATAAGTGCCATTTTTCCAAAATAAGAGGTCCTAGAAAAAATAATCAATATATACGTATGCCAGGTATATGATTAGATTTCGTGCATAGAATCGGAGATGTCAGATATATAATTCTTAAATCTGGTAATTTGTGCACATAACTCATTCTGCTTTTTTCTGTCATAATTCTCTTTACTTTTATATTTTCTCATATGTTTATTGCATGTATTATATTTAGACCTATTTGGCTCACCACAATCTCTACAAGGAGTAGGGTATTGGAGAATTACGATGAATATAATATCTTTCTGATTTACTACGTCAACCACAGATTTCTCCAGTTCTATGAATATATAAGCAATAGTATAATATTATTGTGATTATATATAATAATTACTTCAATCAAATATATAATTTTTTTGCTGTCTGGCTAAAATTTCTGGAATAATTAATTTTATTTTAAAGATTTATCTACCAATTAATATAGTTTCAATAACATATACTTTTTGTCAGATCAAACAACGCACATATACAAACAACATATATACAAATCAATAAAATAAGTTTGTCTAGTAAAGCAAAAAAATATCTTCATGAATCATTACATCAACAGCATCTAAATCAAAAGTTGGCTGAATATAATGAAGCAAAAAAGCTTTTTATGAGTTTAATGGATCTTGACTATAAACCTGCCTATAGAGAGTATATATTTTATAAATACTGGCTTGCATCTAGACCCGAAAGGGCGATGGATCAAAGATCCGAGACTCTGTCTCCTCTAAAGGATCATGGCCATACCAGCTCTTCTGATAGAAACAATATTGTGCTTTTAGATGCATATCAACCTGAAGAGATTTATTCTTAATATATAATTCAGATAGCAGGAAAAGGTTATACAATGATCGATCATTCTAGTGAAGTTTATAGAATACCTGACACTCATGAATGTATTGATAGTAACTAGCCTCTTCGTTTAATTATTGATATTGATGCAAGGCAAAAGCCTGATCTTACAAATCCTAAAGTGCCTTCCTTAGATGATAAAAAAATTACATGAGAAGATTTGTTATCTCAAATTTTAGTTGCTTGTGCAGATGCATTAAGCCTTATTCCTGATTGTATGCCTTTCTTAAATTCTTTTGCTTTAGCGAGTTTATCAAATGCTAAGAAATGTAGTTGGCATATTATTTATCCTCGTGCCTAATTCATAGATTATAGAGAACTTAAAAGATTCACAGAGAAAGTTATGGAATTAGTTGGGAAACCTTATTCAAAATTTATTGATAATGGCCTTCCCAAAACATATTTTAATCTGTGGCTTCTGTGATTAGCGAAGAAAAGTCGTATTAAAAGACCTGCTATTTCTTCTATTAAAAATAGATTTAAAAATCTGGATGATTATCTGGTTCAGCCTAAAGAAAATTATTCTGTAATCTGGTCACGAACCTTTTCTTCTAAGGAGCCAGTAAAAGAAAAATTACAACCTATCGATGATAAAAATGCTTTGAGTAGAGGTGCCAATCTAGTTATTGCAAAATATGAATAGCTCCAGATTAGAAGAATCGAGAAGAGATTCATCAACTTTCAAGCACAATCCGTATTATATAATAATGAGCTCCGCTCTAAAGAATGCCCTATATGTGATGTTAAATATGAAAAAGACCAACTCTACGGATTTATTCGAAAAAATGAACATTTTATACTCAAGTGCTATCGGCAAAAACAATATAAACCGGATCACAAAGGGCTTAGTTTCGATAAGGTATCAGATAAAGTCGAATCAGAAGTGAAACTCAAGAAGTGGAGATTAATTGAAAAATTGCCCAAGGCTATAAAACATCTATGCCCACTTGTAAAATTATCTGAAAATAATATTAATGTTAAGGA